AGAGAGAGAGAGAGAGAGAGAGAGAGAGAGAGAGAGAGAGAGAGAGAGAGAGAGAGAGAGAGAAAGAGAACGAGAGAAAGAGAGCGAGAGAAAAGGATATCGAGAGAGAGAGATTGTTATCAGCGTGTCGGCGGCACAGCGGCCGTCGATACACGACGCCGATGCAACGTACGCACGCGTGACCCTGTTCGCCCTCAAGGTGGCAATGACCACGGCTGCGCTGTTGCGCGGAGCGGAGAAAGTAGGTGGGGTGGGGGCGAGCAGGCAGGAGGAGGGGTGGGGTGCGGGGCGAGCAGGCAGGAGGAGGGGTGGGGGGCGATAACGTCAGCTGAGAACACGGAACGCCGCTACGATAACATTGTGCTAGCGGTGCTGCTGGCTATTCTGGTGCACGCACGCACGCATGCACACACGCACGCACGCACGCACGCACGCAGACACACACACACACGCGCGCGCGCACACGCACGCACGCACGCACGCAACGCGCGCGCGCACACGTGGCCCGGCTTACAAGAGCGATAACGGTTTCTTAGATTGCCCACTCGACGTTGTTTGTTCAGGTTGTTGTTTACCGCGTAAACAAGTCGACAGCCCCTCGCGTTCGCGCCATCGATCGACGAGATGTGTTTATCGCTAAGCGGTCCCCCCCTCGTTAGCGGAAATTTTTCCCATACTTCCAACTAATCGTGGTAATTTATATATACGTGGTGGCTCCTTGCAATGTTTTACTGGCGTCGGTGCTAGTTTATGTTAGTGAGTGCGATTCGATGGAGGGAAGGGCCATCTTATATGCTTGGCTTGGCATTATATGCTTGGCATCTTATATCCAGTAGGCTTGGTTGTTATATGAATGTAAGGAGATGGACAAATATATAACTCGGTGTACGTAGAAAATGTTTTATGGTGGTTCAGTGACATTTGGTATAATTGGCTTTCTTCGTGCTAACCAATTATATAGTCCCTGAATTATGGACTGCCGGTATAATTATTAAGCTCCCTGGGGGGAGAGAGAAAGAGAGACAGAAAGAGAGATAAGGAGAGAGAGAGAGAGAGGAGAGGGAGGACAGAGAGACAGAGAGAGGGGGAAAGGAGAGGTGGAGAGAGGGAAGGAGAGGGAGAGAGAGGACGAGAGAGAGAGAGAGAGAGAGCGAGATTGAGCGAGAGAGAGAGAACGAGAGAGAGAGAGAGAGAAAGAGAGAGAGAGAGAGAGGGAGAGAGGAGAGGAGAGGGAGGACAGAGAGACAGAGAGGGGGGAAGGAGAGGTGGAGAGAGGGAAGGAGAGGGAGAGAGAGGACGAGAGAGAGCGAGAGAGAGGACGAGAGAGAGCGAGAGAGAGGGAGAGAGAGAGAGAGAGAGAGAGAGAGAGAGAGAGAGA